GAAATATGGTTAAATGTAAACAGATTTACTAATATAATTAATTTCATCAGTAGTTTAAGGGAAGAAAACCATTTGATTTTCTTACTGGGTACCAAAAAGACATTTGAAACACTCAACATACATTCTTAATAAAAGCACTTAGTAAAATAGCAATGCAGTGAAAAATTCCATAGCCTAATAAAGATAATTTAAGGTCAAAAGTCTAGAAGCCTACAGCAGTAGGAAAAGGACAAAGGTACTCATCATCACTGCTGTTATTTACCATTTTACTCCAAGTTCTAGCCAGTGTAAAAAGACAAGAAAAAGAAGTAAAGTATCAATATTAGAAAGGAACAGAGAACATTATTATTATATATAGATCATAATATCTACCTGGAAAGCAGAAGAGATCAATTGAAAAACTATTTGAAGTATAATAATAAGAGCATTTAGTAAGGTATCTGGTTATAAGATATAAACAAATTCATACATTTCCTATACACTAGCAATGACCAATTAGTACATATACTGATAAAAAATAACTATTCAAATAATAGAAGTTATAAATTATCTAGGAATAAACAGAAAATGGCTAAACTTAGAACTATAAAGGTACTGATGGACATAAACTAAGGATTAAAATAATGGAATGACATATTCTGGGGCAAATATTGTAAAGACATTCATTCCTGTCATACATCCATGTCAGTAAATTAATGCAATTTCAATCAAAATCCCAACCCTACCTTAGGGGAAACTTCACCCATTTATCCTCAAGTTCTAATGTACTGCATGAGGATAGCAAAGACAATTTTGAAGGGACAAAAGATAATAAAAACATACTACAGAGTTACCATAGCTAAAACAATGTAGTATTAGGACAAGAATAGAAAAATAGATTAATGAACTAAAAAACAAGTCCAAAAACAGATCCATGTATATATACAATTTAATATTTGAAAGAGGTAAATTTCCAATCATTAAAGAAAGAATATTCTATGGATGGTACAGGGACAAATAGCCATTTGGGAAAAATAGATGTCATCCCTATGTCCACATCCTATACCTAAGTCAATTCCTAAGGGAACCCCAAATCCATTATAGAAAACCATAGGAAAACTGTTTTCTAGTTTTCAGGTAGAGAAGGCCTATCTAAACCTAAAACTATTGCCACAAAACATTAAGACAACATACTGTACAAGAAAGATAACATTTTTATGCCACGTATAAAAATCAAAAGTTATAAAATGTTATCCAATGGAAATTAAGTCTTCCTCACATCTGGTCCTCTAGCTACCCAGCTCCTCAACTCTGAGACAAAGACTATTTCCATTCTCTTGTGGACAGCAACTTTAATCACCTAAATATTAGAGACTTCTGTATTAATAACCATCAGAAAGTTGAAAAAGTCAGAGAAACCTGAAAAAAATTTGTAACATGTGATGGATAAAGAACTAACTTCCATATATAAGGAGGTCATATTAATAAATAAAAATGTCAGTACTCTTTTATTAGTTAGGACTACTTTCAGCTGCAAGCATCAGAAAACCAATAAGCAAAGATATACACATTTAAAAATATTGATATATTATTCACCTCTCAGATTTGCAAAGAGGTAAAAGATGACAATAATACCCAGTGTAGACATTATCATACACTGTTCATGAGCATTCAGTAAAATGTTTCCAAAGTGCAATCTGATCAATTATATCAAAATTTTAAATGTGCATATTCTTTGATTCATAAGTTGTACTTCCAGGATTTTGACTTGAGGACATAACTGGTCAAATATACAAAGATATATATGCATTGTAGAATTACTTTATGACAGCAAAAAAGTGTATATAACCTAATGAGGATTGATTGAATAATGTATTATTTGCCCATACAGTCAAATACTATTGTATCAGTTAGGAGACTTTCAACTATAGGTGGGAAAAAATAGCATAAACTAAAATGGGATTGATTATCTCATATAACAAGGCATCTTAACGTAGGGTGGTTCCAGGGTAGTTAAATTTATAGCTCAGTGACATCATCAGGGACCCAGTGTTCTATCTTCACTCTGCCATCTTCGGTATGTCAACTAACTCTCCTGTTGACCACATTCAACAAACATGTACAGGCACTAATTAACCATGGAGATATAATGATTAGCAAAAACAGACATATCCCTTGCCTTCATGTATTTATAGAAAATATACTGTATGTGAGAAAGGTAACAGTACAGTGGGCAGTGGTCGATTGCCTAAAGGTCCTAAAGATGTTTAAAATAGGGCTCGTGGAAGAGAGTGGACAACCAGAACTTATAATCAGAGAATTCCAGAGGCTGTATAAATTTGGTAATGCTTTGGGACAGGGCCATGTGTGTATTTTACTGAAGTGAAATAAGAGTCAAGGTCATTGGATTAAAGTAGGACAAGAAAACAATCATTCCAGCATTTATTGATTACTCAAGTGCATATCTATGCTAGAGATTGGAGAAATGCTGGTAAACAAGATGAGTAAGGTTCCTACTTTTCTAGAACTCATAGTTGGAGAGGCAGGTAGGGGCCAGATCATGCTGAGCCTTGTAGCCATGTTTAGAAATGTAAGGTTTATTTGGATTTTGTTCTAAATGTGATGAGAAATAATATTTTAAGCAGGAGGATGACTTGATCTATCTTGTGAAAAGATCACTCTTGCTGTTATGGTGAGAATGTATCATGGGGTGGGAACAAGAAGTAGAGAGATTGGTTAGGGAAATAATGAAATAGTTCAGGTAAGAGTTAATAGTGGCTTGGACAAAGGCGATAGCAATAGAGATGGAGAAAAATGGCAGGCAGATATATTTTGAAAATAGAATTGACAGTGCTCGATGATGGATTTGATATGTATGAGAGGTGAGAGGAAGTGAGAAATTAAGTATAACTCCTACATTTCTGCATTGAGCAAGGTGGTGGATGGTAGTATCATTTATAGAGTTGAGTAAGACTGGAGTGGTTGGAGGACAGTTTGACAGATACTGATTTCAGTATTGGATTTGTTGAGTGTGAGGCATTTGTGGTTGTGCTTAGCAGGCAAGTTGGCTGTATTGGTATAATGCTCAGAAAGGTGGGCTACAGTCCTTCATTTGGGAATCAGCAACGCAAAGACAGTAACTGAAGTCACAGGAGTAGGTAAGTTTATCTAGGAAAAGGAGAGGATGGAGAGAGAAAAGAATTGAGCCTCCAACAAAATTGAGAACACCAACTTCCTGAGAGGCTGGGTGAAGGCAGAAATTATTCCACCAATGCTATGAGGCAAAGGTCACTCATGACTTTCTACTTCATCAAAGCCTGTGGATACATTTTAATTCTTATCTTTCTGAACCCACTGCTATATTGTGATACTACCTTTCATTCCTTTCTGTAAAACTGTACTCTCCATGATTTCATTATCCCCCTTTAAGTCTTCTTTCCCTTTTCTGTATGCCCTAAACTTTGTTGTTACCCAGGGAAGACTAAAGATTAAGGCTCTAGGTTGAGCTGTCAGCAATAACTTCTGGAGCCATGTCTTCCCTACAATCAGGAAGCCGCTTGCAGATTTGGGAAGATCCTGGCTCCAGAACTTGATGAAGGTGAGGGAGTAATCCATGAAGCTATCTCAGGAAAAATAATTTGATAGAGAGGGAACAGCAAGTACAAAGTACCTGAGGTGAGAATGTGCTTCATGTGGAATTAATTTCTAAGGGTTCTTCTGCAGGCCATTGTAAGGACTTTGGGTTTTAAGCTGAGTAACACAGATACCCACTGGAGAATTATGAGATGATTGCTTATAACCCATGTTTTATCAGGCTCCCTCTGGTGGCTGTATGGAGAATAGACTGCACATGGCGAAGGGGAGGAGACGATAAAAGTAGCAGCAATAACTCAGCTTAGTGATAGTGGCCAGCACCAGTGTGTTAGCACTGAAAATGGTGAAAAGCTGTCAGATTCTGGTTATCCTTTTAACGTAGAGCAGTATAATTTCCCAGTAGATCAAATGTAGACTATGAAAGAGAAGAGTCAAGGATAAGTCCAAGATTTTTTTTGTCAGGAGTACATGGAAGGACAAAGTTGCCATTTACTGAGGAGGAGAAGGCTATAAAAGGAACAGATTTGGGGAGGAATATTGGGAAGCTGATTTGGGACATGTTAAATTTGTGATGCCTGATACGCATTCAAATGGAGATGTCAGGTTGGCAGTTGGTTATAAGGTCTGGAGTCCATGGGAAAGAGACAAATTGGAGATACAAATTCAAGACTCATTGGCTTATAAATGGTATTTACAGCCATGGGGCTGCATGAAATTACCAAGGGAAGTAATATAAATGAAGAAAATATGATCAAGCCCTGGGGAGCATTTGAAGAAGGGAGTGATAAGCTATATCAAATACTGTTACATTATTGGTTTTTCCTTTCTTCTTTCCTTGCTCTCTCCCTCCCTCCCTTCCATTCACTCTAACTATAAAAGTGATAAAGCTTCACAGAACTTAGTTTACCTATGTCCAGACTCAGAATCGAACATCTTTCCCTTTTTTGCCCTCCCCCAAATATGTACTATCAACCCTGGGGAATCTGCTGAACTATTGTGTTCTAATCTGGGCCCCACATTCCAAGTGATCCTGACACACAAATCATGCCATAGTGAGATTTGAAAAAGCTGAGGTAATTTAGCCTGGAAAAAAGAAGACTTTACAAGGAAGACAATAGTTGTAATCAGCTACCTGCTGACAAAATTGAGATCCTTGATTAAAAATTCCAATGATGAAGATTTAGGCTTTACAGAACCAACTTTTCTCAAAGTGGCATGGGCTGGCCAGGAAGTAGTGAGGTCTCAGTGACTTTTGATATGATGGTCATGTAACTTTCAAAAATCATATTCTTTTTCTGGCTTTGAGATACTGGTGAATACCATTGTGCATAGTATATATCATATCTTATTGATATCCTTGGTAATGGTTGCTATGCTGTAGTGACAGATTCTGGAAATAGCTACAACACACACTTGGAATCTCACAGTCACATAATCAATCATTTTACTAAATACAAGCATATTATCATTCACATACAGCTAAATAAAGCATTTTTTCACATTTCATTACAGTGCACAACAAAGTGAGGAAAAGTATACAGTACATTTTATCCTGGAATATGAGACAATCTAATCCAACATGCAGTTGTGGTCTTTGTTACAAGTTAGTTTATCTTTTCTTTACCTATGTAGTAAAATAGCTTCTAAAGCTTTATCCTTAGTATTATATTAACACCTGATTTTTTCACACTTATTTTCTAAAACCCACTTATTGCAGTGACAACAATACTGAATTCTACTAAAATGATTTTTAAAGTTTCTAGAACTTGTTTAAGCAATTAAGCTCAGCCACCTCTGCTGGTTCTATGCTGAGTATTTTTAAACCTGCCTAAAAAATGCCAGGAATGGGAAAAGTGTACATATAATGTATTTTAGTCAAGAAAACTGTAGAGAAGTTTTGTTTCCTTTTTTGAACTCACAAGAATCCAGTCAACTCTTACTTATCCACTGGATAATTTGGCTTTTAGAATCTTCTAAACCTAATTAAGTACAGTAGTTGATGAAATTTTGTGTTAGCCCAATTTTCCATCTTGTATTTGCCTTGTACAACCACAAAGTCGGCAATTTAATTACCCACCCAAGTCAGGTCATGTGAAATGAGTATGGAGATGATTGGTTCACTTGCAGTTGCTGCTGTGAATTGGTCCAGGTGGTTTGCTTATCCAACTTGGGGCGTAGGTGGCAGAATAGTCTTCCATAATTTTCATTATTTGGCTTCTTTATTCTGGCTGAAGCAAATTCCCAAACTTTCAGATTCAGTCACAGTCACACTGAAGTTCAATACTATATCTCAAAGCAACTTGCCATTCCTAGGCTTCCCTATCACAATGGATATGAGAGATCTGACTCTAATCAGAATAGTTTTCTTATTGTGAAAAATATGGCTTTTGCCTAGCTGAACTGGCTGCAATCCAAAAAGTAATTTAAAGCATCACTTCTGTTCAAGATAATGGTAACTTCAAGCCAGCCACTCCAATTTTCTCTTGCAGTTAGCTGTTTGTTCACCTGAGAATTAAGAGCTGACTCTCTAGGGTAGACAGGAACTCAGTATAGGTATATGGCAGACAGGTGGCCAACATCATTGTGGGGTAAGTATTTTATCCCCATCCCACTCCCCATTGCTATATTTGGTTCTTTTCAATAAAATGACCACTGTGTTTCAGTGATAAGAACACTTATAGCCCACACAGTTCTAATGTGTTTTTAGTTGTGCAATTATTCACTTGTTTAAAGCCCTCTTGTCAATAATACCTGAATGGGCTTCACCTTTGATTCCTTCTCAGGTTTCCTCAGGATTATAGCTGAGTTACAATCAATAAGGAAAACATATCCTAACGTGTAGAGAACATTTATTGTACAGTCATATCTCTTCCAAAGTAAACACATTAATAATTGTTTATTCATCTGACAGCAGGATGATGCAGTGAAAAGGAAAGAACTAGGAGTCAGGAGTCCTTGACCTTGGCCAAATGAGTCTCCTGGCACTTAGTTTACTATTCTGCAAAAATGGAACAAAAACCTCATAGGTCTGTTATGATGATCAAATAAGTAGCTAAGTAACTGTAACTTGTTTTTAAGGGTTACAGTGCTGTCTGTGCAGCAGGTATGATGAGTGAGTGTTTGCCTCAGGGCTCTTTTCAGAGGCAATCACCGTGATGTTGCCGTCAGGTGCTTGAAGAAGTAGGCAGGCTGTTTACTTCCATGCTCAGGCATGATCAGAGGGGAAAGAGGGTATGATGTTTAGGTTACAGTGTTTCTCTCTTCTCCTTATAGGGTAATTTGTAAGGGACAATTTCTTTCACACAGCTGATAATTCTATCACAAGGGTGTACATTTTCTCAAATGTGATAATAACTGTGTAGATAGCCTCCCTTTTCACACACAAGGCCTTGATAGGGCCTTAGCAGATAGCTGGCCCATGCCCCTCATTTTGCAGGTGAGCTATTAGAAGCTAATTGGTACCTTTTAACCAAACCCAGCATACACATTGGGATATTCTCACTGAATAAGTTGATCTCATAGTCTTTTTTTAGTTATGCTGATTGTTCCCAATGTGATACTTTCCCTCCCTTTACATATTTTCTTATGTTCATGACCTATGAATGAGCTGAAATTCCAAGGAATAGTTGTCCTGTCTGTAGGTATGTTTTCCTGGGACCTAGCTTCCTGAAGCCCAGGCTTTTAACATGTGGTCCACAAAGGGCACATGGAGCAGCCACTGCCCACCATGGTCCACAAAACTGTGCCTGGCCCAGCCCATGTCAACAATTTAGTCCCTCCATCACAGCACCCAGGCTCCCCCATATACCCATACATGAGCCTGTCAGAGCCCCCAGGAGAAGGAGGCTCTCATGGTATCCAAATGGAAGTTGAGATCTCTTCAGTCATACAAGGATTCTATTTGTTTTGCTCATTTTTCAGTTCAGATGGGAGAGAATGTTTTAGAAATAAAAGGGCTGACTAGCACAAACATCTCCTCTCTGATTTGACAACCTCTTCTGAAGAGTGAACCACATTTGGTACAAATCCACTCTTCACCCCTTCCCAGCCCTCCTGGATTGTAATCTCTCCCCTTTTAACCAGCTCATATATGTCTCTTGTCAGGTCTGTGAATGCTTTCTCCACATTAATGGCATCTCGGGCTGACGTTTCAATGTACTTCATGCCGTATGCAGCAGCCAGTTTCTCGGCCTCGTGGCGAGTCACTTGCCTCTGTGTATCCAGGTCACACTTGTGACCCACCAGAACAAATACAATTTGGTAGGGCTGAACGTGTACTTTGGTCTCTTCTAACCACTCATGGACATTCTGGAAGGACCTGCGGTTGGTTATGTCAAATAAGAGAAGACCACCTACTGAGTTCCTGTAGTAGGCGCGAGTGATGGATCTAAAACACAAGAAAGAAGTAAAGAATAAAGGCCGTGCCCAAACTCCTGCATGTCAACGAATTCAGTGTATTCTAGAGTTCCTGGTTAGTGACACAGTCCTTTAGTAAAAGTGGTTTTCTTTTTTTTTTTAAACAAGGGAATTGAAATGCCATTCCATAATAATAATGACATGTGAATTTTCAACTGGGCAAAACTTTGACACAGTGTCTTCTAGAAATGCATGCTTATGGACTTTCAGGCATTTTTCCTTTGATTCAGCACTGGAAAGTGACCTTGAGTTTGATTGAGTTCTATTTCCTGACTTCAGGCAGAACCACAACTAACTCTCCCACCCCCAAATCTGACAGAGACTTCCTTTTCTGCAAAATAGGATACCTAAGTCACAGGGTTATCATGAGGCAAAATGAAATAATGGATGTTAAAGTGTTCTGTGACATGGAGAGTTCATTACAAATGCTAGTAGTTTAAACAGGATTTTTTAAAAAATAAAAACAAATTTATGATACTTACAAAATATTTATAAGTATATATACATATCTTGCAATATACTCCATTTTTTCCATTTATCATCATTAACATGTTTCTCTTTTTCCATTACTACTATTATTATTGTTATCAAACAGGGGTCCTCAATCTCTTTTGTGAGGAGAAACACGATTTTGTTTTTTATTTTCCAGGCCATGTGGGAATGGGAAAAAGTAGGATGGTGAAGGGTTCAAGGGCAAAGTGCCTCTGAAGCGTCAGCCCAACTTCCTGACGCATCTCAGAGAGGCCAACTCAGGAGCCACCAGCTTGGCAAAAGTGCCTAAATAGCTAAAGCTGTCCCTTAAAATAATATTTATCTAAATAATTATAATTAGAATATTTCTAAAACCTATTACACATTTGCTGTACTTCTTAAACAGAAGAAACTTCACATATTTTAACTTCTTGATTTGAAGAGCCTCATTATAAAATACACATTATGGCACTTTGCTTAGAGTGCATTAGAACTTTTTAGAGGGTATAGAACTATTTGCCTCTACAATCACTTGTTTTAGACTAGTGTGATTTTGGGGTCTATGTATATTTTTAGGTTTTCCGTCTCCTTGGATGAAGAAGATAGACAATGAGGGAGTCTTAAGGGAAATGACCCAATGTTAACAGAACAAACATTGGCCAGGGGATCACAGTTCAAGCTAGATGATGGTAAGAGAAAACCTTACAAATGTATTTGAGCCTTCAGAACCAGGCAAATCAGCTCTGGGGACTGAAGATGTTTGTAATCCCCTTAAGTTTGAAGATTCATGGAGAACGGTAGGTGGACCAGAAAATTAGACATGAACAAATGTTTTGATTTGTGAAGAGTTTGATTCAACAAATCAATAAGAAAGCTGTATATCCCTGTCGAAACTCTAGAATATATTACTACGTTAATTGTATTTAGCAAAGAAAGTGAAGTCCTTTCTAAGCATGACATAAGGCTACGTAAAACTTAAAATCTTCCCTACATAAAAAAAAAAATCTAATGTGAAAAGACAAATGACGAACTGGGAATATGTCTTACAACATACATGACAGAAAAGAGTTAATATTATCAATCTGTAAAGAACTCTTATAAATACATATTGTCCAATAAATAATAAGCAGTGGATATGAACAGGCTGTTCAAACAGAAAGAAATTTCAACAAACATAAGACACCTTTCTTCACTTCTGAGAAATGCAGTCACAAGTTCAAAGTGAACCTGTAATAAGGATATTTGCCACAGTGTTGTTGTGGAAGTGGGGAGTTGGAGACACTTAAGTTTGTAATTTTCTCTTCTCTCTACCCCTCTTGAATTACCTAACCAGTATCTTCTATGCTCAATTAGTATTCAATAGATAAATGAACAAATGATCATATACATGGACTGTTGAGTACTCTTGATCTGGTTCCTGCTGCTGTATTTGACTTTAGTTCAAATTGTTCTCTGCAAAGTTTTCTGTGTACACTCTGCTTTCTCTCACTTCTGTCTTTATACATGTTGTTTTCTATCTCTGGGCATTTCCTGTCTTTGCTTGGGCAGTCATACTCATATGGTCTCATTTTCTCCAGTTAACCTTTCCTCCTCTGTATCAATTACAAATAATACATGTTACAAATAAAGGCAAAGGGTTGTAAGAGAAAATCAAACATATTCACTGATTACTCATTATGTGCCAAGTGTTACAGTAGGGAGTGGGCATACAAACATGAATGAGACACTCTTGTGTCATTGCTGATTATCTATCTCCCCCAACTATGCTAGCAGAAATTCCTAGAGGGAAGGGGCTTTGTCTGTTTTGATTACATGGCATCCCCTTGTGTAGGTTTCCTCATGCTGTTTCCCCAGAAACAAGCCCAATATCTGGCGCATAGTATATGATCACTGAATGTGTGCTGGTTGTAAGAAGGAATCAATTAATTCATCAGTATCTGACTGTTTCCTTTATGTTAGGACATATGTTAGCATATGTATGCATATAGATAGATATAGAAATAAATTAAAATACACACGTATTGATGTATCTCTATATTCTCTCTCTCTCTCTCCCTCTCTCTCTTTCTCTCTCATCTCTATCTCTGTCAGTTGTGTTAGGACGACCTGGGAACATTTTTGAAAGTATGTAACACAGGGACTGAAATTGGTGAATTACAGTGGTTAATTCCAGCTAGTTTATTAGCCACCTTTGGCTAACATATGTGTTATTGACCGGCCTTCCCTGCCAAGGCGCTTCTTTGCCCGCACTGAACTCCTGGTTAGCCAAAGGTGGGCTTCAGCAGAACCCCTCAGAGCCTTGGTGTGGGCCCCCCGTGGACCGCGAGTAGGACCAGGAAGTCCTTTCTCCCCAGTGGGTGCAAGCCCCGAAGACCCTCCCACTGCTCACAGCCCGGGGTACGCTCTCACCTGAACCTCTCTTGACCCGCGGTATCCCAGATCTGGAGCTTGATGCGTTTTCCCGGCTCGATCTCCACCAAGCGAGAGAAAAAATCCACCCCCACGGTGGGGTCCGAAACCTGGGCAAAGCGACCCTCTGTGAAGCGGCGGATCAGGCAGGACTTGCCCACCGTGGAATCCCCAATGACAATGAGCCGGAACTGGTATAGCCAGATGGCCTCCATGGCCGCGGCTCGGCCGGTTTCCTTGGCTCCGGCCAGGGGCGGCGAGAGGGGGGCGCCCCGCCGAGGCCTCGGAGAGCTTGGCTGGGACCGATCTAGCCCAGCCGCGGGCACATCGCTGGCCTGGGAACCCGAAGCGAGGTAGGCCCAGGCACTGGGAGAACAGAGGGATGGATGCTGTGCTCGCGAAGGTGATGAAATGGCAGCAGCATCAGCACCACGCAGACTGACTCATCACTGACAACCGCGTTACTGTAATCCCCCGCGTAGACGCGAGTTTCTGGCCGCCGCACTATCTGTAAGAGGAGCGCACACAAAAACGGCCATGAGAACAGCGTTCCTTTCCTAATTACCCCACCCACACTCTCTCTTCTTAATTTAAAATTTTCCCCGTTGTTCAGATTGCAAATGTAATACCTTTTCATTGAAACTAGCGACATAATACAAAACTACACAAAAAGGGTAGGTACATAATTATATATATCCGTCTATATGTGTTTTCATGCTCACATACATAAACATAGGTGTGTGTATTCCCATATGCATTTATTGCTGTTTGTTTTTACAAAAGTTAAATCAAACTAGACTCTTATTCTGAAACTTACTTTTTTTCCAAATATCACAGCGTCAGGCCACGCGCGGTGGCTCCCGCCTGCAATCCCAGCACTCTGGGAGGCCAAGGCAGGAGGATTGCTAGAGGTCAGGAATTCGAGACCAGCCTGAGCAAGAGCGAGACCCTGTCTCTACTAAAAATAGAAAAATTAGCCCAGCGCGGTGGTGTTCACCTGTAGTCCCAGCTACTCAGGAGGCTGAGGCAGGAGGATCGCTTGAGCCCAAGAGTTTGAGGTTGCTGTGAGCTATGATGACGCCACTGCACTCTAGCCCAGGCGACAGAGCGAGACTATGTCAAAGAAAAAAAAATGGAATTAGAAAAAGAAAAAAGGTGTCAGAGACATCTCTCCATTTCTAACTCATTGTCCTTTTATGTAACAATGCTGCAGTAAAGATTCTTTTTTTTTTTATTTCAGCATATTATGGGGGTACAGATGTTTAGGTTACATATGTTGCCCTTGGTCCCCCCCCCAAGTCCGAGTTTCAAATATGTCCATCCT